TGGGACTGGGCGTATATGCTCACCCATGCGTTGTTGCGTGCATACGTACGCTATTGGCCGCCGTATCCAATATTGGGACTCTGTAGCGAATTATCTTGGTGGTGTCGACTTACAGATTGTTCGTCTATTTTGTTCACTGAATAATTTTTTGTCACACACACATATACGTATGCACATACGTTCGCACACATTCTGTCCGTCTGGGTTTTTATATATATATATATATATATTAAGAAATGGACAAGGTCCGACAATTTATTTATTAAAGACATTTTTTTTTTATGTTTAACGTTGTTATTTTATAGATACAAGTATTTAAGCAAATGCTCTGTTTATGATAAACAGTATTAAATAACATTTACCGGCCTGAATGTCCGAGAAATTTTCATAGAAAATATTCGTCCTTTGACAGGATTCGAACCTGCATCCTATACGGAACCGTCATATACGCTGACGTGCCTTACCTCTAGGCTACAAAGAAGCGTTCGGTAGACAAGGTCGAATTTACTGCTTATAAACTCCAATCCTCCATGAATCTGCTTAAATACTTGTATCTATAAAATAACAACGTTAAACATAAAAAAAATGTCTTTAATAAATAAATTGTCGGACCTTGTCCATTTCTTAATATATGACGTCATTTGTTTACATTCGATACGCCAGAGCAGTTATGAATGTACGAGATTCAGATTCATAAACAGAGCATTTGCTTAAATACTTGTATCTATAAAATAACAACGTTAAACATAAAAAAAATGTCTTTAATAAATATATATATATATATATATATATATATATATATATATATATATATAAATCCATTCACACATTAGCTCTTGAAAATATATTTCAATTGAGCACTGTTGAATGACAAGTTAATTCTACAAACAACAAATCTGTTAATGCAAAGCTCTTCAGTAAAATGAATGGAATGAAAATTTGTTTGGCATTTGTTTACATTTGTAAAAACAATAAGTTAGATTTGGCTGACTTATTCTCTCGAGTGAAGATAGCTCAGTGGCAGAGAGACTGACTGACACCAAATCGGTTGGATGTTTCAAACCGAATGAGGCATTTGAATGTCTAATCGCACTGAAATGCTGTGATACAGCGAAACAGTACTGTCTGCGTATGGCATATATATATATATATATATATATATATATATATATATATATATATATATAAAGGTGCTGTGAACCTCTAAGATAATATTTAAAATAAATAATTGTCACGTTTTTCCCAGATAATCAGCAAATCTTAATTAAACTATATATTAGTTAATAAAAATCTTTATTAAATGAATTACACCCACATCAAAGATTTTTGTCAAGATGGATTAAAAATATTAATTAAAAATTAAGATGTGAAAAAGTAAATGAACCCTTACATTTATACTCTATATTTTTGTTTTAGATGACTGCCAGTGCAAATAATGTTTGTTTTAGATGGCTGCCAGTGCAAATAATGTTTGTTTTAGATGGCTGCCAGTGCAAATAATGTTTGTTTTAGATGGCTGCCAGTGCAAATAATTTTTTGTGCAAATGTAAAAATCAAAATGACACGTGTTTGGTTTTTGGTAAGATGTTTACATTGCAGTCAAATAATATAACTTATTGTGTATACACAAATGTGCTATTAGAGACTAAATTTAAGAAAATATATATGCAAAAATCAAAATGAATTCCTGAAGCTTTAAAAATCGCATAGCTGAAACTTATAATGATGGAGAAGGCTCCAAAAAGTTATCCCTTTCTCCCCTCTGGTGGAAGTGACCAAGATGGCTGTAAAGGCTCAGCCTACTCCTGGGGAATCGTGAGCAGAGGAGTGTGGGTGGTGGACACGGCTAAGCTACTCAGCCGCTCCTGACACAAATGCCGAGTTGAAAACGTATTTAGATTTTTTTAAAATAATAATTATTAAGAAGAAGAAGAAGAATTAATAATAATTTTGACAATTGAAATGAATTTAAAATATGTAATAATAAAATACTAATATCTGTAGTCTTTGTTTCCCCCTTCTTGATAATGTATGGTTGAAAACGCAAATCCTGAAGCTACGAACAATACATCCATTGGATCCAAACATGCGTTCTTTGTATGTAGACAAGAAGATGATTTAAAATTAAAAAAAAAAACGCCACGTAATCATGACATGTACCCAAGCAATGTGATTAGTGACATGTAATATTTGATTTAGCAACAACGTTACTGAATATGTGAAACAAATGCTTTGATCATGCTATCGATAACATTCTTTAGTCGAATTACGTTCTGAATATATGACCCTCTCAAGAAAACAGTAAAAGATCAAAAGTAGACACTACCAATAAAATGAAGAGGTGTCTGTATGTCTGTGTGTCTGTGAGAGAGAGAGAGGGAGAGAGAGAGAGGGAGAGAGAGAGAGGGAGAGAGAGGGAGAGAGATGAAGGGGAGAGAGCAGGTTAAAATTGCAAAACCAAACCATTGTGTGTTTAAAACTTCAAGAAACATAACATCGGCTCAAATTTTTTTTAATCCAAGCAAGGTAAAAAAGTCACTAAGACGCAAGCGGGTCACTGAATGTCAAAGAACACGAGAAAAGGAAAGATATTATTAAAAAGAATTTTAGGAATTAAGAAGGAATTTCAAGGAACTTTGGATATTTATGATAAAAATTCTTAAAGTGAAAAATAATGAAGCGTAAACCCACTTTCTTTCTGTTCACAATATAAAATTCAGGGAATTTGACCTCGAAAAAATAGACTAATTTCTCTAACATTCACGTCGATTTCATTCTACACTGGCTCACAAAATGCCTTACTCACAAGACGTCTATTTACAATAATCCGTACTACATTAGATCTCTCAAGCTATTGACAGTTACAATTCACATACAAAAGTGTTTCATGTTAGAAAAGACAAATATGAAATTCTAAAAAGTTTCTGACATCACCAGTCTTCATCGTTAAGACAGTTTTCGAAAGGAAAATAATGCTTTCTATTTACAATAAAAAAAAATTATGGCACTACGAGTTTGCTTCGAGAATAAACAATTTATTGATTAGATTTTATTTGTCGTTCTTTGAACTCAACGAGAAACCTTTATTCGTATTTGTTCTGCTTTAATAAAGGTTCCGCCAAATGGTAATTAAAAGCAAGTTAAAATGAAAAGTCCTATCAAGAAGAGATTCTAAGTTCAGAATGAAAATCTCGCAAAATAAATTGACGAATTAACAAACATGGCGAACTTACAGATAAGAAAATCCATAGACCTTTATTTTCTAGAAACAAGTGTATTAGAGCCAGAAATGCATGCCTGACAGAAATTAAGTTCTTTGAAATCACCATTTGCAATTTTATGCATGTATTTTTGGTATTCTGACGCCAACTTGACGCAGAATTTTTTATCTTTTCATGGAATATGCAACCATTTTTTATTCCTTTTGTAATTTTTTTTCTTTATAGCAACGAATTTTTTAACAAATCTATATTACAAAGGTCTTTAATTAAGTCAATTTCTTAATTATTTTTTAAAACAATTTTGCATCCTCTAATCAAGACATTTTCTTGTAACGGGAGACTTCTGTACTGATGTTCTGGGGTTTCAGGAGAAAGGAACTAGCATTTTTTTTTCATTTTTTTTTTCTTTTTCGATATCATCTACAAAATTCTTGTCAAAGTTTGACATCTTTTTATTTCTTTCTCGAAATTCTTATTCTTATCTCGAACTTTCTACATTTATCTACCAGTTAATAAATAAATTGTCTATATTAAGTCTATTCAACTTTATTTAAGTCTGGTGATTTTTACCTAAAGTTTATTCGATTTTATTCAAAGCGTATTGAATTCGATTTGAAATCTAAAAGCGTTCTAAATTTGTATTGATTGAGATTCCAATGAAGTTAAAGATTTTTTTCAAAGATTTTCGTGAAATTAGATTCAGAGATTAGCCACATATTATTTTTTTCTTTATCATTTCACCGCAAGCAAGGTAATAAAGTCACTAAGACGCAAGGGGTTACTGAGTATAAGAAAATATGAGAAAAAGAAAATATTATTAAGGAGGAAGAACAATAAAGAAACAGGAAACAAAAAGAAAGAATCGGGATGAATGAGGTGTGATTGATATGAATGAAAGATGGTGTGGTAGAAAGTGACAATTATAAGGGATAAAGAAGATATATAATGATTGGCTAACGGTTTACATGTCGGAACCAGTCACTGACATACTGTGAGGCGTGAAATCTGCCGCTGGTGGCAAGAGGGCCACCTTTCAGGTCAACTTATCACGACAATAAGAGAGGGGTGATTTTCCAAGCACAGCTTAGATGGGGCACAAGGCCGAAAGTAGGGGTACCCAATAAGGATCGAAATCACTACTCAGTCGTAATTGTTCTAGCTAGACAAGCTTGCTAACCATTACACCGTCTGGAGATGCCCTCTCGATAATAAGAGAGAGAGAGAGACGTTGTATATACAAATCCTTGCTCTTTGGAAATTGAAATGATATCAGAATCAGTTGAGAAGAGTTGACAAGAGGCAATTCCTACATACGATTTAATAAATGGAAATCTTAGTTGTGTGCAAAAATCTCTGGTCTTCTCTTATTTAAAAAAAATGCTAATGACTGTGCATGCAATTAAAAACTGATTTCTTAAAAAGAAAAAATAGATTTTGGACACACGTAATGGTTTTGTATTTATTGCCTTGTCACTTACAAACGAAATCCGAAACAAGAAAATACACTGATACAACCAGCTGATTAAATCTACTAACTTTTCTGTAGAGCTTTTTAAACTGTGGGTCCTGGCCCTTCAGTGGGTCGTAAGAGAAATAAAATGGGTCGCAAAAAAAAAAGAAAGAAAAAAACGTGAGTGAGAGCAAATGAACAAATCTAAATGTTGCACTCATAAATCATCGCTAGATTTTCACCGAAGTAAACTCGTATTATATTTTAATATATATATATATATATATATATATATATATATATATATATATATTATTCTCAATGAGTTTATGTATCGTGTTCGTCAAAGTCGTTGCGGACTGAGTGATATCAGTTCATTCTCACAAAGAAAACTCGCGCCAAAACTTTGCTACGATGGCGTGCAGTGCGTTCGTCTTCGCGTCCGGTGAAAGCTGTGAAGATTGTTGAATAATTCAGTTGAATCTAAAGTCAGGGCTAAAAGTGTATTTTCCGATTCAATGTCCAAGTCAAGTACCGATACATTCTTTCTGTGGTAGCAAGATGATATCTTGTATTTATTTGAAGTGTCGGAATTTTCGGTGAGTTGGCTGTTTTTTCGACGAAATTAAAGAACGGGCTAATTTTTCTAAAAGTAATAATTTTATATTCCTACAAGTACATAATACAAATAGATACATGCAATTCCATTATGTGTGGATCATAAGAAATATACCTAGAAATTGTCGATGCTAAATAAATGAACTTTGTGAGCAGAGTTTGTCTTTGATTTATTACATACATGGAAGTATAAATGGGTCACAATGCAAAATGTGGTTCTGGCTGTAGATCGCAGTAAAAAAAAAAAAGGTTTCAAAAACGCTGCTCTAGCGGATACATTGGTTTGTTTGTTTGGCGGCATATCAACTCTCTTTATTAGTCATTTAATGCCGAAATTTATTTTTCTTGGGAGCAGTAGTAATTTTTTTATATTTTAAAAATTTTTTTTTTTTTTTGTTTTTATACTTTGATAATGTTTTGACTCCAGTTTGTGTTTTGACTATTTGCCCATAGCTAGGACCCTAACAGTTGCTACCTCTCCAAGTCAGAATGAACCTGGGAACACCAGCAATTAAGAGGTCGTTCGACGCGCCTCAAAACCTCCAGTTCAGAGGCCTTGCTGTCGGATGTAGATTTTATACATTGGTACTGATATTGTTTCTGTCTTGACTTTCTATAAAATACCATCAATATTTAAAATGAATTAATGTATAGAATTCATATACTGAATTTTATAGCAATCTTAAGCCCTTTTGAACACTGAGGTTGCTTTTTTGCAATGTTTTTGTTGATTAGAATCTCGCCAATTTTTGTATCAACTCGATCAATTAACTTGTAAACGAGACCATTTGCTGGATATCTTTACGCAACCATTTGCTTGTACATTTTAACGGGGCTTGTGACCACAGTGACAGCTATTGCAGGTTTGAAATTTACATACGAATAGTAGACAGCGGCATACAGAAGTAGCGTAAATTATTCTCTATACGCCCACTAATGCTTTATCAAGACCAAACTAAAGCGTTCATTGTCTCGAGCGGAGATTACGTCCCAGTGGCGATGAAGAAGGCAGATTAAACCAATTTTCGTCGGCTCGAACTCTGACCGAAGTCAATTCTGTAATGCTCATTAATCTTTAAAGGTGAATAAAATCGCGTTTTATTTATACAAGGCGAGTAACAAAGAATTTGCTATTGCACAAATGTAAATAATGTCAGAAAATGGCGGAAAGCAAATATTTCAAGAAAAACATTAAAAAAAAAACGAAATACTAACAGAGACCAAATGAAAAAGAAAGAAAAAAAAACAAAGAAAGAAAGAAAGAAAGAAAGAAAGAAAGAAAGAAAAGCTTTATATTTTCCGGACGATTGCTGATTGTCAGATTAAATGTTACTGGTTTCATAGTCAAAATACTTCAACACAAAAGAGGTAATGAAGTATAGAAAACAAGTCCAATGTTTTAATACTAGAATTCGCCCACATTCAAGGCCCGGGAGTCATTCAATGTAGAGTGTTACAGTAAAATGGTAATGATGAATGAATTTTGTTGCCTAGATGAAAGAAGCGGATAGATAACGATTAATACTTGAAGAGGTTAAGATTGTAGAGTTTGGGAAAGCAGTCACACGGGAGTCTGTTCCACAACTTGGTAGTTTTAGTAAAAAAAAACTGATTGGAAATCCCTTTTTACATTTTGGAAACAGAGGAAATGAGGGTGATTCGGCTCCGTAGAAGTGTCATGACGTATCCTCGCTGTAGATGTCTGAAGTGGTGGAACTAAAGAATGCGGCTCTTCTGAACATTTACCGTGGAAATAGCGATAATGTAGCAATAGGGAGTGTAAACGATTTTGTACCAAGACAGGAAAATGGAAATTTCAAATTTAATCCCAACAATTTACATTTCAGGCGCTGTTAGATTTCGCTAGCATTAATAACTGGAAAGACTTATTAATTCAGCTGAAACCAAAATACTGGGTGCGATGGGTAAATTGTCGCATTTTTTTATTTTTTATTTCGGGTATGTGTGTTGTTTGTTTTTTATTTTGTCGACTGCACAGTACAGTAGGGTCAGTTGGGCACCGTCAGTAAGTAAAAGACCACCATGATGCAATTCACTCATCCAGAAATTTGAAAACCGCATGTTGTACTGCTTGGCATTCGTGCCGGAAACTTCAATATGAACATTTTAAAGTGTTTAGATGTCAATCTGAGGACAGTGCCGAGGATTCGGAAAGAGTTCATTGGTGATTACGAAGGTACGGCAGCTCGGAAAATTCATTCTGATAAGAAAAGAACTCACGAATTTGTTAGTGACGGTCTCAGACTCAACACAGAAGCCTCCATCAAGGGCCTTGAGGAAGTAGTGCTGCTCTGGGTGGCTGCCAGAAGACCCTATGTCTGACAACAGGATTCTGCACCATGCCACAAAAGGAGGAGAACCCAGTCATGCCTGTCAAATAATTTCTGTGACCACATCACCTCTTACATTTTGCCACCTAACTCCTCAGACTGCAATTCCATTGTGTGGTACACAGTTGAGCAAGAGACCAACAAAACCCCTTGTAACACTAAATATGAACTGAACGATTATGGCTGTATTCACCAACTTAAGCAAAGAGACCGCCCAGAAAAGTTGCAGGAGATTCCGAAGTCGTCTGAAGGCCGCCGTTGAAGCCATTGGCGATTTTATTGAATAAATTTACTCTTTAGCATTTCAAGATGATTTTTTTTGTGTGTAATTTTGGTAAATATATCCGTTAAAATGAGGTGTAAGTTTTACTTTCATTTTTGCGTAATTTAGACGACAATTTATGCATCGCACCTTATAAAATATTGAATGGTCTTCGGAAACTTTCTTCTTCTCTTTCATCGCGTGGATGCACGTGAGCAATTATAATAATAAATCATTTATTATGAAATTCCATATGTTGGCTTTGAATGTGATATATTTATAAACAATTTTGGTTGCTTGGCTGGATATCTGAATAACCATTTCAAACGAATTAACATAAAATTCAAGCAAATGATAAAATGAATGAAATGATAGCTTTTTAAAAAAATGGTTACAAGAATTTTTTATTACGTCTTATATTTAATAATTACTAAGCTTATATTTGTGTGACAAAAATCAAACTGAAGATCTCCAAGGAATATTGTTTGGTACCGATTTTCAAACTATGAAGAACCTGTCAGTTTTTAAAATCAGCCTTCCAAAATATTGCTTTATAGTGTTATTTCCATCTAAAACGTAGTTCGATTAAGGCGTTTTTTTTTCCTGGTTAGACGCGCTGTTAGCCGATAAAACGCAACTTAGGCATAGAAAAATCCGTAAGGAAAGGTGAAAATTACCTTCTCAAGTTTAAAAATCCTGTGTCTTATGGTTCTGGAACTTGTACAACTACCTAAATTTTCAAGGATATTCAATATGAATTTTCAAATGATATTTAAATGCATTGTGTACAAAAGTTCTTAGCGCACGTTTTGGAAAACAGGATTTTGTTGAAATCTTGACTAAGTTTAATTTGATGCTAATTAAGGGCGCAAGTGTTTAAAACTCAGTGAGGATCGAATTCACTATAATATAGAAATTATCTTACTAACCATAAATCTAAGGTGAGGTTCGCTTTTACATTATATTATGAAATCCAAAGAAATAACAGAAAAGTATTTTAGAAAAATTGATCAGGCATATATATAAAATGGTAAAGAAAAGAAATAGCAAAAAATAACAGCAGAAATAAGTTATCATTCTGCCAGAACGAATAATATAAAGCCAAGGAAAAATTTGACATGTGACGTGAGAATATGATGACGTCATTGACACGTCACGACTCAGAAGATGGATGGATTCAACCTTTCTTTGTGAAATGCCGCAGAATGAAGTCGTTTAAAAAAAAGCAAACGGAAATATTTTTTTTTATTATTATTTAACGGAAAAAAAACGATGAAGGAAAGAAACAGTAAATGAAACGAAAAAAGTCAAAAAAAATGAAAAATGGTAGATTTTAAAGCATTTTGTCAGAAAGAATAAAAAATACTTAAAATATGAGAAGAAAGAAGAGGCAATATTTTAAGATGACCAATAAAAATAGCGAAGAATAAAAGGAAGTAAATTTTATGAAGTCGACAATCGTACAGAAAAGTGGAAAGTAAGGTAATTTGGATAAATGCTGAAGAAACAAAAAGACAAACTCTTGCAAATGCATTGCTTCTCGTTGTAGAAATAGATTGAGAATAGCCATAAAAATCGCTTGAACGTAAAATAGTGAAAAGCATAAGGAAGGTCTACCTTAGTTAAAGAACCAATAATATACATAAAATAGATATTTATCTCGGGCCGTTGACTTGGAAATCAAATAAAAAGATTTTTATAACGTTTTACAGGCAGGAATTTTAAATGGCCAGGAATTCTGTTTTATTTATTTTATTAATGTTTTTAGGAAATTGGCAATTTAGAGTTTTTAATCAGTCTTAAAATGCTCAATGAAACGACTTTCACTTAACCAATACAGACAACCGAAATAAATTCTGCAGCTTTAATAAATTTAGTCCAAACTCATTTAAAGTATATATACGAGGCTGGATCAATAATTGCACAACATAACAGGTAATTATTCACTGAATTTTGATCTGAAGTTCCCACTGTATAATATTTACTCTTTGTAACTAATAATAACCATTGGACGAAGAAGGAAATTATCTATAAAACTAAATAATTATTGTGTAAAATAAATGATTTTTCATCATAAGGTTACGGATTTATTGATATTCCCACATAGCGCTGAATTAAGTGTATTGAAAAGAAAAATGCGTGTGTGTCACGTAATAGTTTTTTTCATCGTTAGACTACGGACTTATGCATATACCGATATACAGACTAATGAAT